ACACACACACACACACACACACACACACACACACACACACACACACAAACACACACACACACACACGCGCAATTAACTGTCATTTTCATTTTAGTCCGTCTTCAAAAACGGTCTACTCCCGCTCTCGTTCTCCGTCCGAAACATTTACTGTCTAATGAGTAACACTCCACCATAATAAAAGACGCATGATGCTAATGAAGCTTCATACTTGACATTAAATATAGAGGGTTTGATCTTTGACCTTGGCATTATGCTCAAAACTAGAGATCTTTGAGATGTGGCTATATAGACGTATGACCTACATTGCCATATTTTGGGTCCAAAGGGTCACCAATGTTGAGGTCCTGTGTCGAACAGAGAAGCTGGAAATAGTCACAGTTATAAAGGAACATTCTTTTGAACTCCTTATGAGGGGCAATAGATACCGGATTCTTCAACTTAATCGCGTAGGTAAATTTGATTTTTTTCAAACAAACATTTTAATACGAGGTATTTCAAGATGAGCCTACATGTTAGGAGGTAAGGCGTCCCGCAACTCTCGCGATAAATATTAATATAAATAAAATAAGAACATGCGGAGAAAATTTGACACAGACCCGACGTTGACAAGCGCCCGATGGCGACTGACGGGGCAGCGGGCGGCGCGAGGTGTGTCGTTTCACCGCTGGGCAATTTTCAAACTTTGTGATAAATGTGAATTTAAACACTATAGGGCTTCAATCGAAAATCAAAATCAAGTAAGTTCTCTGTAATACTTATAAAAAAATTATGTGCATAGATTTAATCGGGTAAGTACGACCTATCGTGTAAGAAATTAGTACATTCTTAGCACAATATCCTTATGTGCATCGTAAATTTTTTTATTAGATGGTTATTTATTAGTAAATACCTTAAGAGGGAGCAGAGGAAAAATTCCTAATCTTCGATTTGATTTTAGAGGGGTATATCCACTTTAAAGTTAAAAATAATATATTGTATGAGTAACTACACGATATATTCAAGCATAGACATTAATCAGAAACATAAAACAATAAAGTTTCCTCGATAGATAAAATTCACGAAATGACCTCTAATTTTACATTTTTTCGTTTCATCATCGAAATGCTACAGGTTATTAAGACAAAAATTAGATAATTAATTATATTTATGCATGATCGAGAACTGTCACCACGGATTTTTTTTTTAATCCCTTTAGTTTTATAGTTATTTTGCTAAAACGAATTTGGTACTTTTAATGCGCAAAATTCAACATCTCCTGTCGCATGTCGCGCGAACTTCAGGCGTATATTTGTCTCACAAATGTGGGCGAAGCCAACGTCAAAACTTTTTTGGCATGCTCCCTCTTAACCACTTGATCTAGTAAAACAGTTTTTCCCGATGACTCGCCGTAAACGAGTGCGACGTCCTCTATGTTCAGCAACTGTTTATCCTATAAATAATTTCGAAAAAAACACTCTATTACTCGCGAGAGCATGAAATCTCTATGCGAGAATAGCAGTATCTCGCGCTTTAGCTTTGCTTTTTTGTCGTGCTAGCCCTACTGATGCCGTCGCCTTCTAGTACTTAACAGTATGCGACTTGATCCGCGACATAATTTTATACAAACTGGATTTTCTGCTTTAAATATCACTTTGTTTACAAAGCCATTTAAAAAAAGAAATATGTAAGTGCAGGAAAAATGTGAAAGTGTTGCCAACCACAAAAACAGTTTTAGTGCAATTTTATAGAAACATCGTTTGTACTGTTTTATTGCAGTAATATTTGCTATTATATATTAAATAAGTAAAAGTCAAATCATGTTTATTTCATAGGTAAGTAAATTACCCTTGAAATCGTTATATTGATAAAACTCTACTGCTCATTCTTAAGACAGATTCTCGTATTGCAGAGAATGAGCAAGAAATTCTAAGGGGTTGCTGTTTGTAAATATGCATTTGAATACATTTATAATTTACAATATTAGATCGAGAATAAAAAGCGGAACGGGTCACAGCCATGGATTTTTGTTATTCAAGTTTTTGTTTCACTGTACCTAGTTTTAAATTCCTTAAATGGTAAATTTTGAATATAACCTGGAATCTTTTTATAGAAGCGTATACATTGATTGTCCCTTAAATGAGTTTGCGGTTTTGTGAAGACAACTATTAAGAACAGCTAGTTTATTTGTTATTCCACGTGTTAATATTATGTCTGTCACCATTGACTTACAATTATCTGGACGTCGGGTCCGCGCTAAAAAGTGTCCGAACTTATAGGTCGTTAAAATCGTATACAGAGCGTCATTCACGCTTTAGTCTTCGTTTGTTCGACTGACAGCGAAGCAAGCAAAATTAGACAGTACTGCGATGACATTACAATTTAAATTCAACGTTTTAGCTTTTTTTTTGTTTTATCTTTGTATTAATAATTATAATAAACTACATTTTCACATAAATGCACTGTGTGGCTAGTGTAAGAATGTTAATCTCTTTAAACTTATCTCTCAAAGACATTGGGGCCCAGATTATAAATTGCCCTAACCGCAAGTTTCGACAGGACAAAGGTGCTATTATTATCGACGGCAGTACCCCAAACTAAAATGCCGTACCTATGTCATTAAACTGTAAAAGTAGCTCGACTAAATCAATGAAGCGGTTTCGACGCCTGAAAATTTCCGTGTTTTTTTAAATCGCGTACACTGCAGAGCTGAGCCGTTTTGATAACTTACTTATATAGCATGTATGTAAATAGCTACTGGATCGTAATGGAAAGCACAATATATTTCCATGTGTTTGATTGTTACTTTTTATGCCATGTTTAAGAATCTACTTACCTATTTCTGTCGCCAAGCAGTGATGTGAACATTACTGCGTTTCGGTTTTGAAGGGTAAGGGTGCTGGTAAAATTACAGGCACATGGGACTGGCAACTTATGCTTCAGGGTGTCATGTGCAGTGGCAATGCCCCACAGATGGGTAGGAGTTGTCCAGCCACTTTACATCATAAAAGAAGCGTATCACAACATATTTAAACTCATTATTTACAAATTATGATTAAAATGATTGAATAGAGCCATAGGTATTGCTTAGTTTACATTAACATTTATTTTATTGAATTTCATTATGTTTTTTTGCGAAACTACTCCACTAATTAGTTATTATTATTCAATACAAAGATAGAACAACATAAAGAAAATTTCCTAAGATCTAATTAGAACCAGCACAGGGGGTCTCTGCGCCAGAGCTGCAAACCTTCGGGTCTACTCCCCCTGTTTCAGACGGATGACGGGCAGACAACGGGAGTAGATTCCCAGGTTTGTAGCTCAGTTGGTAAGAGCTGTGGCGCCGGTTGCCTTTGTTTAATTTGTACATATATTTCTACGACAATTGTATCATCGATATTACTTCATGATATGAACCTTTAGGTACGAAAAAGCATACACAGATATTGTACATAAAATTATCACTGCAAATTAAACTTAATATATTAGTTTAATGCAATGGGGTGCATTGCAAGCATTATAGTGTGTGCCATCGATACGACAAGAAGAAGTTTTACACTTCATTAATTACACTTCAGTGTGTGCTGTGACCTGTCAATTGTTATTACCGTTCTGGTTGCCCATATTCCAGGTCCTGGGATGAACCGCAGCACAACGTTCTCGGAAAGAACAAAAAAATCTCTTTCCGTGGTAGTGATGTGGCCGTCGAAGTCGCTGTTTAGCAGCAGTGAGAGGAGGTGCAAACTCAGCGTCGAGGGCGCTGCCTGTGCTGCTGAATACTTGGATTTCAAGAGACGGAAAACTCAGGTACAAAATTTAACCTTACGTCTTCTCATATCGCCTACAATAACGTAAGTAGTTAGTTTGTACAGCTCAGTTAACGGAATAATATTATTCCGTTAAAATAAATGTGCATCTGTTCAAAAACATTTCTTATTATCAATGTAAATATAATAGGTCAACCGGTGTCATGGTCTAACCGGCTCGAAGGATAACTTTTATACATTTTCTTTTTACTAAAAGTTCTGTATGTTACCCAATAACACACGGCACCGCTTGTCCACGTGACAGACAAAGTGACACAATGTAACAATTGCCACCACAACACAAACAATAATTAAAAGTTTTTTTTCATATTGGTGTACATGTTTGACATATAATTGTACGATATTTTTTAAATTGTCTATACTTATTGAAAAAATACTTTCGATAAGTATCGATAAATACATTTAAAACAGCACTTTATCGAAAGATTTCGAACGAAAATGGTAAGCTTAGACGTTTAACACAAGCAGACATCACGTTCTAGCGCCAACTTATTAAACTAATTTAATGATAGGTAACAAAAACCCAGTAATTATCACTATAATTGTTTCCCTTAGGTGATGATTAGCGGATACATGGATGCGTCGTTCTCGCCACTCATGCGCATGATGTCCAGGACGTACGTGACGCTCGGTCGGAATGTCATCATGGTCGAGATTTTTCCCATTCTCGTGCGCACTTATCCAGTGTAAGAACTTTCAAATACTCTTTATCGAAACTTTTTATGCTTTCAAGATTAAGAATTGGGTTTGTTTGGTGCAAAGTCAAATAATCATTTATTCCATAGCTAAAATTTTTAAACAATCATGACACCAGTCCCTTAAACTTTTCTACTGTGTGTCTGTGCTGTAATGAGGGGGCGATGTTACACACTGCCACCTGAGAAATCTATTCTAATCAGTAACCTCGGTGGCCCAACGATTTCTTCTGTGGGCGCACGATTAGGAGGTCCCGGATTCAATTCCTGGTAGGACGAATTTGGGAAAAATATTTTATTATATTATTAAATAGGTTCTGGTTTGGGTGTTCCTGGCAGTACCCTGTAGTGAATTCCGTTGCTCTTAATTCTTTAGACCAGGTGTTAGGATTGGTATGGTGTCCTGGCACTATTCACTTACCAACAGTTATTCAAATTCAAATTCAAAATTTCATTTATTAAGACTACATGGGTCCATGGTGTTAGTTACATTTACAACAAATGCTTAGAAACTATGTTAGTAATAATTTAGTACACAATCACAAAATAATAAATACAATAAAAATTATAATGAATCAAAAAACCAAATATAAATACAAAATAAAAACTAATTAATTAAATATCCATGTCCAGGATTTATAAAAGCCGATACCCAATGCCTCTGTAAGGCACTATCCGGTCTATCGGCTAATGTCCTAAGTATGCTGTTGGGGCTCCCCAGCATTCTGCGTTTCACTGAAACTATTTTTTTGCGTATTACAGCATAAAAACAGTCAGTGTGTGCATCGGCAAACATACCAGATGCACTGCAGTACCTGGGCAACCCCAACAGCATCCTAAACATGTCGTTATAAAGGACGAGTTATATATCTGGCACATTATTATTATTATATACGAATAGACTATCGTACTATGATACTACTGTAAAACATTTGCAGTGGGTGTACCAAGGATTTAGAGCCATGGTTTAATTGCCAAGTTACCGAAGACGGGTTTGCTGTTGTGCTTAGAAAGAGAGGTTCTTCTTTTACTCAGAGAGCGCTAGACAGTGCTAACAGCATTAAAACTGCCATAGCTCTCAGTCGCGACTCGTCCGTAGTACATTGGATCTCAGTCATTAAGTAGTATACTGTACGAAAGAAGCACGCACGATGTACACGTACCTTTCTGTACGTCTGGCTCGCTCTGGGCAACGATCGGCGAGTATGTTACGCGGATTGACAAATCCTTTAAAGACGGTGCCAAGCACTATATTTTATGCCATCAATAGTATAAGAAGTCTATGCCGTGGACAGGACAAGAAAAAGTAATATACTGGATGTTATATTACGTAATTTGTTAATATGATAATTAAATTTTAAGGTCTAAATTTTGTCATGGTATGGATTTGTTATGTTCCAAATAAACATTTATTATTATCTCCATTATCATCAGCTTACCCGCATCCGTTGCTGGTCATAATTCTCCCCTTGAGCATGCCAAATCTCTCGGGTCCGAAACAATTCCTTGAGCCCCAAAAAAAGAATTGACGTATTGTATATGTTCCATCTATATTAGATGATCTGCGGATAAATTATAAATGAACTGCATTCAAGGTAACACCATCATTATGTTCAAGCATACTAAATTAATATCTGGTATTCTAAAATAATATCGGATCCTCTTTTTTATCTGATTATATGTTGATATAATGATCGTTAAAACGATTGATGACATTAATAACCAGCATATCTTTTGATATCGATCTCCTAATAAAAAAGCAGTTAGCTTCCCAGAACCAGAAACCAATTTGCGTATTTGAAGATGTTTTCAGGTCAAATTATATTAAAATGAATATAATAATAGTATACAAATCTAATCAACATTTACTTAGTTTTCAAAATAAGTGTCTAACTTTAATTTTTAATCATATTTGTCTTAGTTTTGAGGCCCATCACAAATCTATCAAAATTAATTTATTTAGATCAAATATTTTTTGCGTAGCTCAAAACAGGTTAAAATATAGATCGATTTAATTTATTTTATATCTTAGACAAAACGGATCAATCATTAAAAAAGATGACCGCTTAGTTCTTTTTAACCAACTTCTGTGTATTTTTTCTGTATATTTATTTATTCTATATTTATTTATTCTGTATACAATTCGTCTGAGAAGACGTCGGTTCGAATCCAACCGGACCGAAGGAATTTTTTCTGAGTGTTCGATCTTTGTATTAATAATTATAACAAACTAGTGGAGTAATTTCCCAAAAAATAATTGAATATCAATTCAATAAAAATTTTAAATGTAGCTTTTTCACAAACGGCATTATATTGTGCCCAGATCTTAATTAACGTCACGTAAGAAACATCTTTTATAAATCGCCTGACTATTAAACATTATGTCTAGTGTACTTAGGCAATAGATCATAATATGTTTCGACATAAAGTATTTCGCAATCTCTGAAGGTCATATGTCATCATATTTCGAATCGACAACTCCTCTCCCCCTTTGCAGTTAGTTATAGTCGTAAGGGGTACCCCTAAGGGGTTATTCTTTTTTGTACCGATATAATTATTCTGATCTTGAAGATTCCTTTTCGAGTTCGTAGGAATTTCTTTTGTTTATGTCGCAATTGGAGAAAACTTTACTCGTATGTTAAAAATAATTTCAAATCTGATTTTATTTGAATTTAATTTAGTTAAAGTAAAATCAAGCGCAAATAATGTAATTTAGATGTTATAAATCCTCCAGAATCCACACAAATTTGATTCAAAGTGTATTCCATAGCATTTAAATTTATTTGAAAAGAGCAATCCCTAGAGTTTCTTGCTCGTTCTTCTCAGGGACGTCGGTACAATGAACGAGCAGTAGCTTAAATGTGACGTTTTCAAGTGTAAATTTATTTTACCTATGGAATAAATAGTCTTTGACTTTGACTTTGATAAACGTAAATGAAACTTATGTATAATATAACTTTTTTTCGGTTCTAGATCGCAAATGTTTTCTTCAAATTTTCAAGCGATTTCAAGTATCAATTTGTAAAGAAAAAAATCATATGGTTCCTGAACGTTTTACGGACGTTAAATGAAAATTTAAAAAAGGAATGATTGACATTCTAGCGATTTTGGCGTGTTGACATTATTGTCATAGTGTTAATAAGACGAATATAGTAACTCCATACAAACATAGCAGCACGGCTTGTGTATGTGCCCGCACACACATTCGCATAAACGCGCGGTGTACTCGCGTTGCATAGCGGGTCGTCATACGCGCCATTGACTATAGAATTGAGTCGATCACATGGTTTTTAAAAAGAACATCAAATAGTAGACATATTTATTGTTGTGCTTGTGGTAGTTTGAACAAGAATCCTCAATTCACAATTGTTCAGTATTTCATTTCTTTTCGATAATTATACTCCATAATCAAGATACCAATCCACAATACTGATATAAAATGCTTATGGTTATTTCAATATAGTATAAGAATAACTGTGATAAACACCTTAATTTCCGAATTATGTTCACAACCTGTAGGTACAACTAAAATGTGACAACCCTACGTTCCGAGTGAAGTGTAGGCATTTACGCACTGAAGAAGCGGGAGTTGCCCTGCTTGCTCTTATTATCTATGATATTGTCCAGCGAATATATTATTTGAAAAGTTTAAAAGTCGAGTTTTATTGCAGTAAACTTTTACTAGTTTGAGACCAGGTAAATGATGTGATTACCTGGCGTTTTATTATTGTTATTTTGAATATTTTACTCGCCTCTATAATAAATTAAAACTTGAAAATGTCACTTTTAAGCTACTGCTCGTTCATTACGCTGACTTCCCTGAGAAGAATGAGCAAGAAACTCTAGGGATTGCTCTTTTCAAATTAACTTAAATGCTATGCTAACACTTTCAATCAAATTTGTGTGGAATCTAGAGCCATGTCGTCTTTCCATACATCTTTATCTACCACGTAGTCTTCAATTTTGTAATATGACTTTTCAATTAAAACGTTTTTAATGTACTTTTTAAACTTTCGAAATGATAATCTTAATATATGCTCCGGAATCTTATTGTAAAAACGTATACGTTCCCCATAATAGAGTCGTTTAACTTGGTTAAACGAAATCATGGTACCATAAATTTGGACTTAGCTCTAAGGTCAAAACTAATGGATATATTATTTCTTAATGAAATTATGTATATTTTTACGGGCATATAGAACATTTGAGCAAATGTACTGTGATGCCACAGTCATGATACCAGTCACCTTAAACTTTTCTCTGAGAGAGACCCGAGAACTTAAACGGTACACAGAACGAATCACTCGTTTTTGCAATATAAATAGGGTTTGTATGTCTACCGCTTTCTTTCGTTGCACCCTTTGTATCTCCTAATTTTCTATCTAAAGGTTGCCTGACAGAAATATGTAGAGATACTTTGCTAAGACCTCACTGCTTAAGGTCTTCTATTATACATTAACATATTTCGATAAACTGTGCTCATTATTGTTCTGCGTTGGTGTTGTGTTTTTTTAATGTGCAATACAGGTGATTTCATTCGTTCATCTACAATAGGCTTAATTATTTCTTGTAACTAGTTTTTTCTTATACAACTCACAAATTGCTCTGCAATACAAAAACTATAACGAAGTCGTAATCAAGGTGAAATAACTGTGCATTATTTATTGTCGATGTCGTCATCGTCTTCCGTACTACACTAGTATTGCTGTTACATATAATAACAGACAGGTCAAAAACCCTTTCACACAGAAGCGTAAACAATACTTGAAAAGCGAATTTTTAGGGCATTATAAGAGTGGAAACTGGCCAAAACGATGCAAGTGTTAATACAAAATTTGGGGAAATAAGACTTCGGAAAAAGTAAATGGAAATTTCAGCTACGAACTTATATTTTTTTCGGATGTAATAGGCGAATTTGAATAATTATTGGAACTTATAAAATTTCAGAAAAGCGTAATTGGATTTTGCTTGCGATTTTGTTCGATTTTTGTATTACTAATTAAAAGAATAACTTGTTAATATGTCAAAATAGTGAAACATTAAAGGGTAATGAAGAAAACCGTAACGTGTTTTCGGACAAATGAAGCAAAATCTATTCAATAAAAGTCTAAAGGTTTTCGGAGAAACAAAAGTCTGTTAGTCATGTTTCTAGCTTGTGATAGGTAACCAGTTACACGTATGTGCCTGCAAAAACGGGTGCTTTTGTTACCCACTGGACAAGGGTTCATATGTTGGTTGGCGTGTCAAGTATCCCGGCATACCAGGCGGGGCCGTGGATCGTAAACCACGTGGCCATAGCCCCGTCTGATGCGGGGTGTGGGAATACCCAGGGGTTTTTAGTGAGTAGGAACCTCATATTTTTCCTGCGGAAAAAAGTTACACTTGTACCTAGCGTAACTTTATTACGGTAATGTAATAATACACTTAGGAAATGAAACTATTTTCAACCGCCTTTAAAAAAAATTTTTTTGTATGTACATTTATGTTACGCGATAACTTGTGAAATTTTTAATTTTTTTTTATTTTTTACGCCATTTGTTACCCGATATTGATGATTATTTTTTGTTGGAAAGAGGGTACCTCAGAAGTGGTCCCATTTAAATTTGAAGAAAATATTTCACTATTTTTTAATTTTCACTTCATTATTTTTAAGGGTGGTAAACTAGGGGATGAATGACTTTTGAGGTCGGTTTTTTTAACGGAGGTTAGGTTATTCCGGACCTGAATATATTTGTTTTTTTCAAACAAACCAACGTTTCAGGCTCTTTGCATTATCATGGCGTATTAAAGTTGAGTCAGAGGCCCTAGGTAGTCTCGAAGCACGAAATCCTTTTTCACGACCGTTTAAACTCTTTGAGAACCCTCATTATGCAACGATTGCATAATATAGTATTTTATGCAATTTTTTAAGACCTCCTTCAGATTTTTGTCATTTCCTGTGCCCTTACAGGGTCCATAACGATCTTAATTTATGCTACCTACCACCTTGTATATAACATTATGGTATGCAATAAAGTATTGAGTATTGAAACTCCAGTGTGTACACCGTAACGGATTCCATGCTTCGAGTGTAGGGTCCCGGCCGGTAGCGACAAAATACTGTCATTTCTAAAGATAACTTATTGTGTAACAAATGTACTTTATAGACGGCCTTAAGCAAGATTGTTCACTTTTAGTTCTCTAAGAATCCGCTAGATGGCATTGACCCATTTGGCGTTATTTCTGAATCGCGGTGTTAAGATTTTCCCTCGAACAACTACTCGAACACAAAATTGTGTTCGAAAGGTGAAGAGAAACCTGAGAATACAGAGAGCTCAGTAAGGCAACCAGGAGTTGAGTCCCTTCTTGGTAACTGCCCTGCTACCCGGATCTTCTGATATTTCGTACGCTCATATAGGGTGAAAGATTATTGCCCATCATATAGGGTGAATAAACCTCATCTCGCGGAACGGTTTCTAGGAGTGAGTCCCTTCTTGGGAACTGCTACCCGGTTCTTCTAATATTTCGTACGCTCATATATGGTGAATGAACCTCATCTCGCGGAACGGTTTCCAGGAATGAGTCCCTTCTTGTAACAACTGCCCGGTCCTTCCGCATATAGGGTGAAATTGTATTGGCGACATACAAGGTGAAAATAAAAATCTTCTGAACCACTTGGAGTTTTACTTGGCTTGTTTTGGTAACCTCATCCAACGGAAGAAAGAAACTCCCTCCTTTACAATTGTGAATTTTCTCTCTTATTACTATTCAAATTATTTAGCTCTTATTATGGTTTTTGTGTATTTGTCCTGTGTGCTAGAAATATATTACTTATAGTTATTGCGCTGTACCTACCTTTTGCATTGCATTGATACACAAGTGTAATGACACACATTTTTTTTTCGTAATATTTTTAGATAGTTTTGTTTACTTTGTTATGCGTTAATATGTGCGGAAATATATTGTTTCAGATAGTAAAAAAATTACAAATACACATAAATAAATAAGCTATTTCTAACATAATATTGTGCGCGTTCCACAGCGCAGCGCGCATCACGAAGCCTCTAGGTCACATTATAGGAGAGTTCCTGGCAGAGCTGACTCGTCTGGGTCTATCGCCAAATCGAATTGAGATGGTCGGAGGTAGTCTTGGTGCGCACATCGCCTCTTTCGCTTCTATCAAGTACCGAGAGCTCACTGGAAAGCGACCTGAAAGACTTACGGGTATGAAAACCATAATATATAGGTATATGTACACTTGTGTGAGTTGCGAATCCGAGAAATGACGGTGCGAGGTAGTCGTAGTAGTATTTACAGTGCTCAGTCATTCGCTCAAGGTTACGCGATAAGTGCCTACCACTGAGCGTACCGACGTCGGCACAAGCGCTCATACAAATCTTTAATTTATGAGCATTCGTCTCCGCACGATTGCACACGGCCGGCAATATATATAATAATATAATATATTCTCACCTCTCTGAGCGCGAGCTTAGGTTTTTTTTAATCCTAGTGGGTGTCTGGTGTCATTAATCAGATTTAGTAAGCTATTACAGTGTAGACATTTTCGATTTTGTTTGAGAGTGAAGTATGTGTTACGTAGTAACTGTTAGTAATCTGTGCTATTTATATGAGGTATTGCGCACCAATCAATCCGAATTATGAAGTCGAGAATACCTTTATTTCGGATAATTGTTTTCGTGGATCAAAGTACTCGTACGTGATGGCTGCATGAAGGGATGAAGGGAAACAGCATGTATCCATACATTTTTGTTTTATATAATATATAAAACAAAATTGACAGTAGACACGCTCATTCAATAATACCTAACTGTGAATAAATTTCTTGCTCTCTTGTTAAGTTCATCTTAATTATTAAAAATGTTTCTCTGTAAGGTCCGTTCAACAGAAGGTGTACCCAAAACCCAACGCCTCTTCATAGTTATGTACTAACAAGGCCAAAGGTTCACAGAGATTGAAAGGACAAATAGTAAGTAGGAGTATGTAGGTGTACAAGCGATATTCGATATTCTCGGATTCATATCGGACTTAGTGCACAAGCATCATACGGAGTTGGTTCGAGTTTTCTGGATCTGTATATTCTCGGATTCAGGACGGATACGAAAAGTATGCAAACGCTCTAATTCTGCCGCCCGCCAAATAAAACGCCACAAAAAAACCAGAACCCAGTTTCGGAATATTGTATTAGGGGAGCATGGGGGAATGGGAGCCTACTAAGGAAAACAGACAATAAAAGCCATAATTTATACAATTAAAATTTTTAATAGTTATGAACGTACGCTTCCCATATCTGGTTACTAGATAATCACAGAGAAAATATGAAACTAAAATAAAATAATTGGTTGAAAAAGAAAATACTTAAACATGTCATTCGCTCTCATTGCCCCACAGAACGGGAAATGGGAGTCGGTGAAATCCCGTATGTCAAATGGGAGCCATTATAGATGTCTGAAAAAAAAAAGTATAAATTAAATTTTTATTGAATTGATATTCAATTATTTTTTGTGAAATTACTCCACTAGTTTGTTATAATTATTAATACAAAGATCGAACACTCTGAAAAAATTCCTTCGTTCCGGTCGGATTCGAACCGAAGTCTTCTTGCATACCGTGCCAGACGCTATATGCCGCATAGAAAAATTCGTGAGGTCCGTTGGTTCGTTCCGTGGCTTAGTTGGTATAGCGTCTGGCACGGCATGAAGACGTCGGTTCGAATCCGACCGGATCGAAGGAATTTTTTCTGAGTGTTCGATCTTTGTATTAATAATGTACCTTAAATAAAGTACCGTATGGAAATAAACAAGGTGTTAACGGAATATCCAGTGAATATTGCAATGGGATAAGGAGAGCCAAATAGCTCTCATTATCCGCGTAACATCGAATTGAAAAAGGAATTAAAACACTAAAAACATTTCTATTGTTATTGTGATTTCAAGTATACCTTCTAAAATTTGATAGATATGGTGACATAGCTAGTGTAAATACAATGTAGTATCTATGCATTTTATTGCTTGGGATGATGAAATTTGGCAAAGTTTATAAACGTAGAGTGAAAAACACACAACCATCTCATACGACTAAACTTGGGGTTCTACAGGGGCGCGGGACTCGAACCTCGTCGAACGTTAACGAAGAAGACATAGGGACATACGAGCATTGGGAAAGTCCAGTTTAACACCGCTCTCATTACCCGCGGGCTCCCAATACCCCACGTTCCCCTACATGTTATTTTGTAAATATTTTAGACTTTGAATTGCCTCCGTGGCCAATTAGTTACAATGCTGATCTCCAACGCAGAGGTCCCGGGCTCGATTCCTGGGCTGGGAGAAATATTTACGTACGACCTACATTTATTTGTATACATAACATTGCACCCGCGATACAGGGTTTCCCTAGTGCGGGGCTGTGAGTGTGTGCGATTAAAATAATAATAATAATGAACACCCTGAGCTTGATGACATTAGATCGAACAGCTAACTCGTCAAAAAAATAAATATAATCATCAACACACTAACAAAATGTGTTTCATTGTATTCTACTTATTCATCACTTACATACTCTACCAACGTAATCATCGATGGATATCGATTATTACTTAACAGCTGTGAAGAGAATGTTTATACGCATAAATTAAGTTAAATTTAAGTTAATTAATACGTGTAAACCAGTCTATTCGCCGGTTAATAATAGTCCAGCAGACCGGCACCGATGTAAAAAAGGTCAACACGTACAATTTAAAGTATAACACAGCCGTTCAACTTTGCGGTAAGGTTGTTAGAGGACTAGTTTTCGTGACCCAGCAGACTAGTACAATCAAAGCCACGCAAAAAGCTGTAGAAATTGAAAGTGGTCGTTATAGCGGTACCATAGATTACCGTAAGGATTTTAAACTTCATTGCACGCTTGCTAGGCCGTTTAGGTTTGTTTAGCTATGGTACAATGACCGTTAAGTATAAAAAATGACTCAGGATTGTTATCAAATTGGTTTGAGTCTTCCGTTTTCGTCGTACGTTGTATATATATATATATAGGCGAGACGTACCAAATATTGGATACGTGCACAATACTGGATACCCCGCTATAATGAAAACTAAACAACACCATCTTCATTTAAAAATTAGGACTTCTTCGTCAATGTAAGTTACCAATATTTTGCTAGTTGTCTACGCCATTTTTGCCTTCGGTTAGTTGTCAACATTCATAAGTGATATTATATTTTGTGTACTAGCTAGGCGCATAGTTAGAATACAAAACTTAATGCATTTTAGCGATAATTGTGCAGGTAGAAATTTTCTTAACCGATTATTGTACGTACAAGTAGGTAGTTACCTGAATATTGGATACCTAAGTATCCACAATACTAGATATCCGATATTGGGGTACCTACATCACTGGTTGGGTCTTTCACATTCAAATGTTTAATTATTTGTTTAATTGGGGGATCATTAAAAAAGATGACCGTTGAGATTTTTGCCTACCTACTGCTTTTGGAAATTTCAAAGGATCATTTAAATAGAGTGTACCCTATACTGGATATCCAGTATTGAATAGTATACCATATACTGGATATCCATTATTAGGGTAGGACAAGTGAAAACATCGTTGATTTTTGTAATTAAAACCAAATACTTATATAAAAAATAAATGAACATAGATATAAGTTTAATTCATTTTCTAATGTAAAGCCTTTAGATAGACAATGACTATGACTGCAATAAATATAATTTTTTAATATTATATTAGTTCTTAGGTTTTCGCGATTGTTACACATAGGAAATAAAACTATTTTTCCGGATTTAAATCGCATATATTTGTTTTTTCAAACAAACCGACGTTTCGGGCCCTTTACAGGTCTCATGGTCACGGTTGACTGAGGTGGTAGTCTTCAACCAGTTAAGTCTAATATTGATGCAAACCACTCTATTTTTTCACTATAGTTACAATAGTTATTAATTAAATACCTGATTTTTTATTTTACAAAGAAAACATTCCAATTTACGCTACATTAAGTTTTACAAATAATTTTATTGAATGAATTTTTATTAAGTTCAATTTATTATTAATTAATAATAGAAATTAGAATAAACTAATACATATTAATTAGTACTGCAGTCTTATGTCTGTTTCGGATTTTTCATTAGAGGAAATACTGGATCCCAAACTTGTGGTACGGAGAAACCATCTTCCCTGTTGAAATTAGGATGTTTTCTAATTTCAATGACCTCTCGCAGCATCCTGGTTTGTTTGAAAAAACAAATATACGCGATTTAAACCCGGAAAAATAGTTTCATTTCCTATATTATATTAGTGTTTTTTTCGAATGTTCAAAAAGTATCCGATATTTGGTACGTCTTCCTTATTATAAGACATTAATAATAATAATAACGCACACACTCAACATAGCCCCGCACTAGGGAAACCCTGTGTCGCGGGTGCCATGGACACACACATAGACGACCACAAATTACACCCAAACTCACGAGAGAAATAAATGTAGGTCATACAAATATTTCTCCCGGCCCGGGAATCGAACCTGGGACCTCTGCGTGGCAGTCCGGCATGGTAACCGTTCGGCCACGGAGGCAGTTAATTGTTGAAACCTTAGAATAATAACGCAGTTGAAACGATAAATATTATTGAAGTTAAGAGTCTATACTAACTCAGCTTGAATTAAATTTTTTCCCGCATTAATACGGTTCATTTTGGTTTAATCGATTGGCAGGACACTGGCTTTATTTCCGAATTAATTTTTTTACAAATTATATTAAAGTCATTTGAAAAATGAGTATCGTATAGTATACGTACTCTATTTAGTTTAGTTGATATAAAAAAAAATTACACAGTCTTTTTATGATACAAAATAATGCGACGAACAAGGCGTATGAGTGGTTGTAAGCGACACGCCTGTCCATAACAGTTGCAGTGCCACTCAGAGCTTTAAATCGCAAAGATCTGAGGGCGCGCCCGTCACCTTGAGACATAAATTGAGAAGTACCGTGTGCCCGTAATTTCACTATCAACAATTATTTTCATTAAAATTGACTAATTTAATCATTGACTTACAATTATATGGACGTCGGGTCCGCGCTAAAAAGTGTCCGAACTTATAGGGCGTTAAAATCGTATACAGAGCGTCATTCACGCTCTAGTCTTCGTTTGTTCGACTGACAGCGAAGCAAGCCAAATTAGACAGTACTGCGATGACATTACAATTTAAATTCAACGTTTTAGCTTTTTCATATTCCTTTACATGTCACTACGTTTAAATAGGTTGACTTGGGACATTGTTTTCGTGGTTTTTGTATTAGACCCGTCGTCCATTTATTTGTAAGTCAATGAATTTAATAAATACATGCGTTAAAAAAACATGTTACTCCTAGTTTGATATAATTATTAATACAAAGATCGATCACTCAGTAAGTAATCCCTTCGAGCAGGCCAGATTTGAACCGACGACGTCTTCTAGCATACCGTGCCAGATCCTATACCAACTAAGCCACGGAACGAACCAGCGGACCTCACGAATTTTTCTGTTTGTTTTCGTGTCCTTGTATTTGGTTTTTTCAACGACTTTTTAGCCGTAGCGCCATCTATCAGAAATCTTAAGTATTTCGTCACCCAGTTATATATACGATATACCTTTGCAGCTACCAGCCCTGCCTAGACCCTTCAAAACCGGAACGCAGTGTGTTGTATTTGTTGCCCAGCAGTTGACGACGACGATCAATAACATTTTTAATTTAAATTCATCGCACATTAGTACAGTAAAATAAAATTAGACAATAAGCCCACTCCAAAGTAAATCAGCTTCGCTAAAAAAGCTTTGAATTTTTTTCAGCTTTGGATCCGGCTGGACCCTGTTTCCGCAACTTGCCAGAAACAGAGAGGTTCCAGGCTGACGCGGCCATTCACACAGATGCTTTGCATACCAACATTGACGGCTTTGGCATCGCTGATGCCATTGCACATGTAGACTTTTATGCTAATGGAGGTAAGTTCGAACAAGCAATTCCGTGGTGCAGGATCACGTAGTACTCGTTTAACATCTTGGGAGAGATCCTTCTCCATCTGTGTAGTGCTTTATACCAGTTGAATGAAAATTAATTAACGGCAGTTACCTATTTCTACCGCCAAGCATGTGCAAGCAATGCTTACATTACTACGTTCTTTAGGGGTGGTGTAGAAATTACAGGCACATGGGACTTGTCAACTTGTCTCAGGGTGACATCTCGTGGTCGTATCTGACATTTTTGTCGTAACTACGTGAGACGTAGGCAAGATCTTCAATCGTCTTTAAACATAATATTAATAACGAACATTCTCGACGTTTTTATATTTAATTATAATACTACACGCAAAATAGGCGCCTTGACGTCAAGTTGCGGACACCAGCCCGTTACACCAAGTACCAAGTTATAAAACTTTTAAAAAACCGATACAAAGCAACACACTTCAAAAAAGCCACTACACCACCACATTCAATATGGCCAGTTTAAATACGCCAGTCTTACCGTAAGTAGAGCTGGGTCGACTGTCCTGGCAGCATCACATCAAGGTCATAATATTGTAAGATCATCAGAATTCCATACTATAGCAATTTCAAGTCAATCGGTTGTCCGATGTCCACTTGTGTGGAAGTAAAATAACTATTCTCTATGACCGAAAACTAACATACTCAGGGCAGAATTTAAAGTTTTGGCGCTGTTAGGGTCAAATGCTTTTTTAACCGACTTAAAAAAGGGGCTTCTCAATTCGCTTAAACTATTTATTTAAATTTCAATAGGTACTACTACATGTTCTCTACATTCCCTTGTTATGAACTCTATGTTAATAGAAACAAGAATCTAAAAAACTTGTCTGTTAATTTTAGGGACTTGTACATAATTTCACGGAACGACTTTCCAGATACATTTAATTTAATTTTAATAGCAAAGAGTTTGTTTACTTAAATTATGAAATAAAAATTCAGGGACCCGATAAATGTATTTTTTTGTATGTATGTTAACGTGATAATTTTTTAAGGCATTTGTGGACCGATTTTGATGATGCTTTTGTTGGAAAGAGGGTACCGTTGTATTGATCTCATCCCAGAAAACTGAAGGAAATATTCCACCCCTAAGAGTGGGAAAGTAGGGGATGAATCCGGTTTCGCGCACTTTAAAGTAACCGATTTCAATAAACCTTGGCAAATATATGTAATATCACGAATTTTTGGGGTCGTTTTTTTTTTTATAAAAAAGTTACAATTATAAATATTTTATTTTCACCTCAGCAGCTCGAACAAGGCTATTTTGCTGTGTGAAATCAGTGAGCAAAATCTTATTTTGCTCACTCCGTGAGAAAAAGTAGCTTTTTGCTTTTTAAGTGGAGACTTGTCATTTAATGCGAAGGGGTCTAATACAAATTCGACATATTTCAAAATCAGTCGCTCCGTCCCTTTCACTTCATTACAAGAAAAAGGAAAAAGAAAATTATGGTTTATTCGTACTTCGATATTTAAGCTACATAGTAGACCCCCACAAAATGGCTGAACGAGTGCACGTTCGGAAACTCGTCAATTCATCTAAAAGATAAATTATGTGAGAAATACAAATACGATTTTATACTATGATAATTTAGTTTTTACAATTTTCATTAAAAATAAAGCAAGTGTTGCAATAAAAATATGCTAAATTTATAACGTCAATTAAAGATAACAATATTTACAATGTGTGATTTCAATGAATACAAGCGAGAACGTTCCGGAACGCAATAAATAAAAGCGCGCTTTCTTTTTTTTTAATTCAAAATTTCTTATTTGCTTGCGATAGGTACTTCTTTGATAGTTAATTGGATACCTACCTACGTAATAAAATAGAAAATATGAGCGATTCCAGTGAAGACGACAATTTTTTAACTCCTCCAGAGTTAGTTGAAACTGTTAAAAATGCTGAACTAAGTTTCTTGCCTAGTAAATCTCGTGAAAAGTACCTGAAAGTCTACGAACATTTTGACAAATGGAGGCACGAAAAGGGCGCAGGAAACACTATGTCGGAAACTGTGCTTCTGTCTTATTTCATTGAAATGTCGCATACAAAACAGCCGTCAACGATGTGGAGTATATATTCGATGTTGAAAGCTACATTACAAACTAAAAATAACGTCCATATAAACACTTACGCAAAGCTGATTGCGTTTTTGAAAAGATCGGCCGTCGGCCACAAATCAAAAAAATCGAAAGTTTTCACGGCTGCTAATATTGAAAAATTTCTTAATGAAGCTCCAGATTGCACTTTCCTAGCCGCAAAAGTAAGTATTGAATATTATTACTGTTGTCGTAGCGTTATATTTTAATTGTTAATACAATTTGGACTTTGGTAGTTATGTTATCAATTTCTATCAACATAATTATACTTACCTACTTAAATGTGTTGTTTTGGCGACTTGTATTGGAACTTTATGGTTAAAAATAACGCTACATATTATGAGAAATCCACGTTTAAGACTGCTCTAAAAGACACAATACTTATTGACGTTTTATTTATGTTTCAGGTCATCCTTATCATTGGAATAAACGGAGCATGCCGCTCCAACGAGTTATTGAATCTAACTCCTAATGCCATTGAACAACATTCCAGCGACCTTCTTTTGATTAACCTGCCAAATACGAAAACAAATATAGACAGGTCGTTCGTCGTCCGTGAGGAATACGCACACGTTGTCCAGAAATATAAAGCATTGCGCCCTCCCAATACGATCACAGACCGCTTTTTCATACAATATCGTAATGGAAAATGTACGCGGCAACCGATGGGTATTAATAAAATAGGAGCGACTGCACGAGAAATCGCAACATTTTTAGATTTGAAAGAGCCGCAGCTATACACTGGCCACTGCTTCAGGCGAACATCAGCCACTCTTTTGGCAGATGGAGGAGCTGACCTCACAACGTTGAAGCGCCATGGCGGTTGGAGATCAAATACAGTGGCTGAAGGATATATCGAAGATTCAATAGAAAATAAATCAAAAATCTGTAAGCGTATTATAGATTCGATAAACCTAAAACAGACTTCGCATTCTTGGGCACAACCTAGCACCTCCAGTGATGCGAATCATACCCAAACCCGCCCAGAATCACCAACTTTTACGGTGCGGGAAGGGTCACAATCCAGCTCAACTCATAATGAAACCTCGACCACTACTCAAGTAGCAAACACTACGACGATTACTGTTCCAAATAAAACAGTAACTTTTAATCTACAGAATTGTACAAACTTCACGTTCCACTTTTAATTTTTTGTAAATTCTGTATTTTTGTAAATATACAATGATGCATTTGTTTTCATGACGTGTTTTTATTACTTGTCCCTTTAGTATATATATATGTTCTCGCTGCTGAGGTGAAAAGTTGTATGTATCACGCGAGAGCAAAGTTATTTTGCAGCTCGTATTTTTGAGTCCCTCGCTTCGCTCAAGATTCTAATTCTGAATCACTCGCTACGCTCGTGATTCAACTATAGAATCTTTCGCTTGCTCAGGACTCAAAAACAGCACTCGCACCAAAAAACGACTTTGCTCTCTTGTTGAACAAATAACTATTGGTGTGAACCCTGACATTTTGCAAATATGGCACCGTGGTAAATCGCTCCTGAACATACTATCCAATAAAATTAATTATCTCTTATATTCCGAGTACTTTGTTACGATTTTGGAAACCACTAAACATTAAGTTATAAATTACTATTCTTAGATATCTTCCCTCTTAAAACTAACTTTCTCTAGTTACATAATTGTACTTTACTATGAAATTTAACTGCCGAAAGGTTTATAATTACTTATAAATGGTAATCAGACGTTTGAATTGCAAATTTAACAGTATTTAGTCAGCACGTGGCATCCATGTTATTTAACATGCGCTATAAAATTAATTTAAAAACGGAGAAAAGCGTAGTGTAGCAGTTTCTATAGTTATCAGTGGTGGTCCGCATAACAAGATTTTCATCGACTTGTGTTAGACATTGGTTTATCTAATCTAGAAATGAACGAGACTAGATAATATTTTTTTAAATCTAACTATAAGTACCGTAAGCATACTATAATGGTAAATAAAAGCTCTTCAATGTTATATTTTGAAACCTTGTAACTATCATTAGCCACTTTACTATTAAAATGAAAAAGAATGTCCAATTTCAACAAGCAACCCGAGCCTATCTTCTTGTGAGTATAATGCATAGACATAATTATTAATTCTAAACTGACGTTGGCGACGACCGCCATAAATTTATATTATTTTTACAAAACTGATATTGGCGTAATCTTAAAAAATGCACTGGCAATACAAAAAATAATCATAAATTGAATTTCTTTTGTACCGAAAAAAATAACACCAGTTCTTCAAGTCTTTTTGATTCATATTTAAGTTGGTCCATCTGATGTAAACTGAAAACTCGACATATTAGAACCTTGTATTATGTAAGCACTGAAATTTTACCAAATCGGAGGGACTGTAGCAGGAGGAAGTCATCATCATTATTTTAAACAATTTTAAAGGATTTTGGTCGTTACTTTTCATTAACTAAAGCGTAATTTTTAATCTTTCCAGGTGAATACCAACCATCAATGACCGGCAACTTCATCCTACCATGTTTCCTAGTCTGCAGCCACGTACGAGCCGCTTTCTACTGGAATTTAGCATACAAGAACACTGATAAATTCGTCGGAGTTCGCTGCGACTCTGTAGCGAGCGTCCGCCACGGCCGATGCTACGACGGCATAATTGAAACGAACTATTTAGGTCCCAAAACAAATTTTAGTAAACCTGGAATATATTACTTACCTACCACAGAATTCGTGCCATATTTCGTTGAAGATGGCACGAAGTCACGAGATTACGGCGTTAATAATTATTTATTGAAAACTGCACCTGACGAAGATCTCATAGTATGACATGAAATAAAAGTACTTAATATTATGATAGCATTTTTTATTCATAAGTCCGTTAAAATAAGCAATAAACAACAACTACTTATTATGATTTTGTTAGGCCGAAATACGGTTCGTATAAAAAACTACCTAATGTATGTATATATACAGAGCACATTACAAACGTCAGTCGATTTGAAAGCTCTGGACGGGGCGAGCCCTGTGATATTTTGAGCTGTACTGGAAGCCTATTAGACATTCCACTTTACCCTACATTTCGTTAGAATCAGGCGCGTACGGCGAATTAAACTGTCACAAGACTATCTTTATTTTGTTCTAATTGTTTTCTATAGTCAGATTTCTAATTTGATTTCTTATTTTTAATTATAATAAAAAGAACTCAATAAGGGTCGCCTCAAATGGCCATCACCAGGCGACGCGATGCAGCGATGCGTTAAAATGAGCAATATACCACAACTCTATGAGAAGTTTACTTTTCGTTAAACAAACAATTAAAAAGAAGATAATGTAATATTCTTTACAAAATAAAGTTACACATTTTTTGAATAGAGTAGAGACTAAATGTAAATGATATTTGGCAAATTAACATTTAGAAATCTTTAATTTTATTTTTTATTCTTTGTTTTGTGAGAGAACAACACAAGAGTTTGACCTCCATCTCACCTGATGGAAAGTGACGATGAGGAGCGTGCACACCTAAATAATGCCTATTCACTCTCGCTTTTGAAAAAGCCCAAGTTACAGGTTCTGTTGAACCAAACAGATTACTATACAATAAACTTCGCAACGTTTTTTTTATCTCTAATAAAAAATCCAACTATAGCTACGGTATTTCAAAGTTTTACTATCGCACCGTACGCGAATAATGGAAGTGTCGTTTCCCTGTCACGTAAATTCTGCTCAGTATTTCTGTAGTAGTAGTCTTACTTGCACCTGCTATAAGCATTCAATTTAGGCTTTTACTGTTACAGATGTAGCTCGAAAACGAGATTCCGTCGGCGAGAAATACTGTTAGTTCTGGCACTACAGGTACACTATAGATACCTGGAGCAAAAGTCACATTCCAGGAAAATGCCACATATACGTGCGGTCAATTACTGCGTTGTCACCCGGCCTGAGGCCAAACGCCTGTTTAGGACCGCGCCTATATGTGAGACACTGTATGGATTTTTAATATATTATAAAAAGATAGTATACTTCATTATAATTAGCAAAACAAAAAAAATTCATTATTAATTGCCAATAAATAACTACATGCAACGTACTACAAAATCATATTCATCACGACGATATCATTAGTATAATTTTTTTATAAATTAACGAAAATAATTGTGTCATTACACAAGTGTCTTTTAAATAAAATTTCGAACGTAACGAAGCGTAATATTACAGGGACACTACAGGGTTGACAACTTACATATGGACCCTTGATATACTGCTAGTTTCACATAATTAACTTCTTCAACGATTTTGGCCAAAATATTCATGTTGGTGACAATTTAAGTTCTAAAGAAACATGTTATGTTGTAATTATTTTATAGTAAATAAAAATATTGATACCAACGATAATAAGCTCATGTAACAAATTTATACCGCACAAATATACATACAGGGTGTAAAAAGAAATCGATTTCATAATCAATAATGTCTCAACCAAACAACGACACCGATTTCTCGATCTCAAACTAACTAGGGAATTATGAGTCAACTTCGGGACACTGCCCAGCAGTGGCGAGGCGTTCATAAAACTCGATTCCCACCGGCTTGTCTAAAATTTTCCGCGTACCTATTACCATTGGCAGCGCGCATACCCTACCACTTAAAAAAAAATTATTCAAAATATTCGCTATCAGCGCAAGATAAGCCGGCGGATCGGCGAGTTCTATTTCATTCATGAAATCTATAATCGCGCTCCCCTCAAAATATACGAAATGCCGGCTGAAAAGCCGCAATAATTCGAGTTATTGTCGAATAGCGTTCACTTAAATTTAAACCTTATGCCAACACATTATAGTTTAATTTTTTTTAACGTCAGAATCGTTGCCAGATGTAAAGTTTCTTAAAATAATGTAGCAAAATTATTATAATTGCAAATTGATACAAAAATGGTTAATTTCTATTTTGTAAATCTTTACGATAAATAATGTTACATATGTATCTATATTTAATTGGGTGTGTCTTTCTAATAGGACTACGTAACGAATGTATGTAGAAGGTCATGGTAATTCATAGGTAATTAAAATAGCAACACGTAGCATTTATGTGTTTGTCTACATACTTTCGTGTCGCGACGGGCAGCTTAAAATGTAAAATTACTTTAAAAGCTATGATTATTTTATGTATAGAATAAGTTATCCTGTGAAATGAAGTAAACTTAGTATATTGTGTCCTAATAAGTGTTGTGCTTAAATGTCGCCACGCGCCTTTTTAACGGGAAAAGAAATTTTGTTTAAAGTAAGTGTTCTTTGTTTTAAAAAAAAAGTTAAAGCTTCGGCTTTAACGAGGACAAGACGCCTCGCCACTGCTGTCCAGAGCACAAATTTAATATAATTCATTTTCCAAGTTGGTTCTACCGGGAATCGAACCCGATACCTTATCCAGCGGCCACAACTGGGCACCCAGGATCGTCAACTCCATGACTATTTTACAAAATATAGGGACTTAGTGATATTAAGGGAATGGAAAATTTCTGCCTAACTAAAATTTCATGCATGTTTTCATATTTATTACAGGTTTAAATGTTTCTTACATTCAGCATTTTAAAATATAAATATAAAAAGAAACAATAATGTGCATTTATATTTGTGTATAAGTGAAAATATGATTCATACGCTGGCCTAAAAAAAGCACCATACATTGATAAAACATTATTCCATAAAGTAATATAAAAAATAGAATATGATGTATTTTATTTGGGAATGTGATTTCTTAATGTACGACTAAACCGATATGATATAACATACTTATATTTGCAAATTTTGTCTATTGATATGTAATTTAATTAATTCTCAAAAGGGCGTCAGCATTATTAAACGATGAAGAGTTCAACGCAGTTCAGCTTATCCAACAAAACGAAGCTACAACCAACAAAACCGGACCTTCTAGTTACCACACACAGTAGAAGCCAGAGTCGATCAAATTAAAATGGTAATTGACTTGAGAGTATTGTAAACTAATATACGTTGAATCTTGCAAAACAAAGCCCTCTCTACACACAAGGTTTTCAAGAAAAAGAAAGTATGTCCTTTATGACTTTACATAAAGGACATACACTACCATATTTGACAGGACGCTACGGAAAGCTGCAGCACAAAACTGGGCATCCACACGAACCCTAAGTGCTGGCAAGTGAGGACGCCATCTTACTCGTTACATAGTGCAGAGCGCAGTTAAAATTAAAAAATAATGTAGTTCCATCTGCTTCTTGAAACAACGTTGGTAAAATGGGATCAAAGTATAAATTTGAAACTAATTAACTTGCGTTACTAACATTGAAGTATTAAGTAGCAATATTAATATTATGCTTTGAAATTTATTCACTTTATCTAGAATGTTAAATGATAAATCTTAATAAATTTGTATCAAAATATCGTTGAAAAGCGATTTCTTTTTGGCATTAGCTGCCTTTTTATGAGGGGTCTTTCATTAGCCTTTTCCTCAGAAGAAACCCGCGTGTAATCATTGGACATAGGGTTAAATAGGAATCTCTATTGAACACCATATCAATTTGTTCTTTAAAACGAAGTAAACGATTTGATTTATAAAAATTAACAATTTTAGGAGGCCATTGAACAAAACGAGCGCATACAGAGTGCTAATAAATTAGATACGAATGTTTCTAATCAGTTTGAAGTAAAGATAGCAACAATAAGTTATTTTTTTTTTTCGAAAAATTTAAGGACAATATAATTACTAAAGCTATTCAAATATTTTCAATGTCATCTTTTGGCACGTTTTAACTATTACTGGCCCCTTCACTACTAAAATAAAAAATAAATAAAAATTATATTTGGACAGAAATATAAATTAGGTTTTCTGTAAAGTTTTGAACTAAAATTTCAAAACGGGAATAAACGCGATTGAACAATTTAATAGGTAAGCCGACAACTTACCAATTAAATAAAAAAAATTATTCTCGCTGAGTCAGCCTACCCATTAATTTGACCGCCGTTAGTGCAACCTGGCCGAAACATCGAGGTAATAGATAGGTGTGCAAATATCTATTAAATTGTTTGACAACGTTTATTCCCATTTTCAAATGTTAGTATAATGCAAAGGCAACAAATTTGTAATTGATCCTTCTGTGGTGAATTGACGGCCCTAAAATTATACGTAACAATTTATTAGCACCTTATATAAATGAACCCCTATCCCTTAGTAGCAATGTATCAATCAATTTTAATATATGTAACGGGCCTACCTACACACCTATTTACATTATACTACATTTTGTGTGGTTAATAATTCTCCTATATTATTCTCCTTACTTACTAAATCTTTTTCACATAGTAAGGTAACGTTTGATAAATTCCATTTGACGTGGCAATAATTCAAAAAAACAATAGCGAAACCATATTTAAAAGAATTCTCTAGCGTCTTCTAATGTCATAATTACAAGTTTGAATAAAAATAAATTCATTAGCTTTTTTAAATTATTCTAAAGGTCTGTCTAAGTCTGGAAATAAAAATCATATATAAAAGAAACTCAAATGACTAATTAGTATGTAATCGGACTGACATCTACAATTGTTAGTTTCTTAATGTTGAGCGAAATCTAGCCGCAAAAAAAACATATTTTCAGTACCTGCGTATAGATAGGAACTACTTTATTATAAAAAATAAAGCTGATAATTTCTTCTCCAACCATACCATGCGAGAAAGTGATAAAACCGACAAAAAAGTTCCCGATATCAGGGATAGATGGCACGTATCACAAAAAATAATTTGTGTGCGAGTAGACATTAAACTCGCTTTCTGATGGCTTAACGTCATGCCTTTTGACCATATCATTATATAATTTCCTCTGTTTAAGGCTTTTCTGCAGTTTATTTTGATATAATAATACACCTAATATTTTGTATTCAATTATGTAAAATATAACCTCCAAAACTTCAAACTGGGAACATCTTTAATTTCAAACTTCTCAGAACAGTAAACCCAAAACCAAATTTGTTCACGAGTTTTAACATATATAAAATTTAATTATATGTATTTTTGTTTATGTATAACTGTCCCTCAATGTAACAAAATAATAACTGATAGCATGAAATCGAAATGAAAATGTTTTGTACAAAAACGTTTGTTCCAAATTACTGAAAAAATATTCAGTCCGAATTTGTTTAATTAAATCGATAATTGTAGTGATACATCTCTAGAATAGTCAACGTCGGCTAGGTGCTACGTGAAAAAGATTATAATTGAAGTGTGTGGAGAAAAAAATAGAGAGAGGTATAGCATAATGTAAATGCGGTTGAATCGCTTATTCTGACAATACCAAAATTGACCTACAAATCACGGGATATTAGTGCTCCACAAGGCGGAGCGTGCTAGCAATAGCTACCGGGGTATATATTCCAGGGGATACCACGCCACAGTTTCTTCACGTAACGGCAAATTGGCGAGTGGTATCATGACACCGCCGAGGAATTGATTTTCTTGCAAGGAGTCGTAATGCCATACTGTCGCCTGGAGGCTTCGGTGCCTGATGACGTCGATAGGTAGTCTGTATTCTAGCATCTCCATGAATGAAGGATGTGAATTCCGCTTCAGGACGCGGGTCTTGCGCTTCGTTTCTTTGGTTGGATCTGGTAATAGATACACCTGGAAGTAAAAGATGGCATATACTAACAGTTAAACATTGTAATAATAATAATAACGCACACACTCAACATAGCCCCGCACTAGAGAAACCCTGTGTCGTGGGTGCCATGGACACACCCATAGACAACCACAAATTACACCCAAACTCACGAGAGGAATAAATGTAGGCCATAGAAATATTTCTCCCGGCCCGGGAATCGAACCTGGGACCTCTGCGCGGCAGTCCGGAATGCAGTTTTAAACAAGAGATGTTGATAACCAAACGGTTTGCGCTGTGGGCGCTGGATAAATTAGTTCTTCCCTATTTTAATTATTTAGTAGTAGACCTACCAACAAATGGACGTCGGGTCTAATACAAAAATCACGAAAAAATGTCCGAAGTTAACCTATACAAACGGAGTGACATGTAACGAAATGTAAAAAACTAAAACATTTAATTTAAATTGTAACATCATTGCAGTACTGCCTAATTTTGCTTGCAACAATTTAAGTGCCCAAAAACACCATATTCAGCTTCTACTGGAAATTTAACAAAATCCACCATTTTGCTTCGACTGACCATTACTTGATATTAATTAATTTTTATACATATTATTATGTCCAATTTTGTACAAATCACTTAAAGAACTAATAAAGAGTTGGGCAGATACAAACATACAAATATTACTACAAATGTGAAAATAAGCGTGTACTATAATAAATGTACCGATATTCCCACTAAACGTAAACTCAAATATCCGTAATTCCGTAAACCGATTTATAATAAAACCGTTACGCTTTCATGTAATTTTAATGCTTTTCAAAAAGACAAAATTAGTTTTTATTTTGTAATCTTCCTAAAAAATACATTTGACATGAAAATTCGAGCTAACCTTATTTCGGGCAAATGCATTTTCTGACTTCTAATAGGTAATCCCAAGCCGTAAAACGAGTACAACAATATTTTGTTAGTTATTGCTAACGTTTAATTAAAAATCATTTTAAAAATAAGATTAAAATCAAAGCGACTCTATAGTTTCTTTGTTCTAAATATTTCAATCGCTTGTGGTTCGAACAATTGAAAATGACCAAGAAGTTTATATAAGCTTCTTGAAATTGACGTTATTTATATATATAATATATATTCGTAAATAACGTATTAGTATATTCCATCCTTTGCGCATGCAATGTGTAGAAAAAGGACAGTTAGCTATTTGATTATTTTGTGTGCTTTTGTAATTTATATTTACGCTTCATTTATATATAAATTAAATACTATAAAACTGTACAAAATAACATTTTTAAATGAGAACTATGCTAACACAATATATTTGTTTAGTGAAAATATGATACAAAACCCTGTTTTTACACTTTACTGCAGTAATTTTTACCACTTATTATTATATGATACTGCATGATTGACAACCGCGCTGACAGTCGAACAAACGAAGACTGTTGCGCGATTGACGCTCTGTATGTCATTTTAACGCCCTATAGATGCGGACACTTTTAAACGCGAACCCGATGTCCATTTATTGGTAGGTCAATGGTAACAGTAAAGCTTTTTGTGAAAGAGTTCGTCCAGGGAAGTACTGATAGCCGTGGTGAATGTGCACCGACCCCACGGCGCCGACTCAACCGGCGAGAGGTAAACCCGAGGGGGTTTTAGTGGGGTAGGCCCTCCAGTATGGAGGGAGAGTCCCCACATAACCCCTGAGTCTCCCTGAGCTCAGGGGTATCTATAAAGGGGTATCTAGCACACGCCTGGGGTAAAAAACGTAACGTGTTAATGTTATATAATGAAAATTGGATTTATGTATAATTATAAAGAGTAGTTGAATAATTAATTTTCATATATCTTTGAATCTGTATAGATTGCTGTGTTAGCCAGTAAGTATGGTGTATACGTTTACCTTTAAACTTTGTAACGTATTGTACATTTGCCATTGTTGTATATGCATCACGTTGGCTCTCCTATATAATAAATAAATAATCAGAAATATTAATTAAACAAAAGCTGAATAGTATGTTGCTAGTTTGACTGCGCTATATTAAAATGAAATATGTGATTGCGTACCTTGACGTAGGGGTTGGGCGGCAGACCCTGTGGTGTGAGCGCCAGCGACTGCGCGTGCAGGATAAGCACGGCTAGCACGCCTCCCGCGTACTGCACCGACAACTTCAGCGACCCCGAGCCCGTCGATTCCGGCTCCGCTGGCTCTGCGACAACGTAATACAAAACGAATCACCCTAACGCGTAATTCTCTATCTTGACAGTCAGTCAAAATGCCGAAAGATCTTTAACAAAAACAGGAGAATTTCGACAACTCGATAAATCAGTTGGTAAGAGCAATAAATACTACGGTGCACTATGGTCGTGGGTTCAAGTCCCATCGATTTGAAAAAGTTTGTCTATGAGTTCGATCTTTGTATTAAATAATTATAATAAAAACTAATGGAGTTACTTTACAATAAAATCTCAATAATACATAAGCCAGTAAAGGTTCAGTGAGAAATATCATGTAGTATACATGTCAAAGTCTATTGCTATGTTTTCTTTTTTCATACATCGAGGGGTTCGACGCAAAACCTATCTAACTCATTACAGTGTATTTTATGCACTTTTCAATGGTAAAGAAAACTGGCCCAATCCAAAATAATTCCTTTCTTGACTTATTACTGAGATTTGTTCTGGAAAAGACAAATTTTATTGTGAATGGGACACCGAGCTTTTCATTGGTTAAAATAATTACATAACAATATGTAGATGGTCTACGATATGTCAATTTTGTACGCGGTAGATACGTCTAAAGGTGTTTTAACCCACCTTCCTAGTGAATTAAGATGCTTTTGAGATATCGCACTATTCTAGAAAGCCTTCGATACAGGGTTTGTAGAGTTTCTGTGCTACATTGCTGGACTGCCACGCTGAGGTCCCGGGTTTCGATTTCCGGGCCGGGAGATATATTTGTATGGCCTATATTTATTTCTCTCGTGAGTTTGCGTGTCATTTGTAGTTTTCTATGTGTGGCCATGGAACCCGCGATACAGGGTTTCCCTAGTGCGGGGCTGTAGTAGTGTCTATGAGTGTATGCGTTATTATTATATTATTTATAAATCTGATCCTTACACTCCACTATACAAAAGAGAATGAAAATTATACTATTGCATGGTCTCATCACATATACAAACTAACATGCACTTAGGTATAATTCTGTGAACACGGCGATCCAGTTAAGCCATCTGCTGCACTTTGCTTTAAATAACTCCACCGAGACACTACTCAGGGGAAGATTTGCCACCTTATACATTTAATATATACTTTTTTATATATACTTTTAACTTATAGAAAGTCTTTCTCTGCGTGCTACACTACTGTTTCAACTACACTACATCTGCCGCAAATGTACTGAGCTACTGGTCTATACAACTATAATTAATTAGATACCCAAAATGTACTTAATGTATGCTTCACTTTTTCTTGCTGTTTATTATAGCAAGGGATGTCTTTTGTTTCTAAAACAAAGGTCACGTGGGGTAAGAGGCGGAGGAAGGCGAAGGAGAAGGAGAGAAGGAGAGAAGGAGAGAAGGAGGAAGGAGGTCACTCTTTTCCGGGTGTTCACGGGACTTGAAGCCTTAATTCTTAATCTGAAGAGTTTAGCATTATATTAGTCGATAAAACAGACAAACAAATTAGTTCCAACGATTTTAAAGAGATGTCAATACGATGCTCAAAATACATATGGAAGAAAAACAAATTTGGCAGTTGGCAAATCTTGAGAACAAGGTATACATTATCTTTATAAGTAATACAATGACTGTTCCCCTTATCCCATATTTTGGGAGAAGTGGAACGTCAGCACAATTTGCAAGTTATCGCGCAAATACTTCGTAAGTATTGACTTCAGTCTAATGATTGTTAAAACGTGTGAAGCTGGATAAACAAAGGCAAGGTTAGTGTACTTCGTATCTGTCTAAAGTTTATATAAGACTTTATCTGTTCAACAATAGACTCAAAATAAAGTTTATTTTTTATTATATCAAATGACGGGACGAACAAGTCGTGCGCCTGATGGTAAGCTACACGCCTGTCCATAACAGTTGCAGTGCCACTCAGAGCTTTAAATCGCAAATCTCTGAGGGGCACTGCCACTACGCCCGCCCGTCACCCTGAGACATGAGTTGACGAGTCCCATGTGCCTGTAATGTCACCAGCACCCTTACCCATCAAAACCGAAACGCAGTTATGCTAACATACTGCTCGGTAGGTAAAGTATGTTCCTATTACCCCACCTATCGTATATTTACATTAATTTTACTAAGCCACACTGGTATTACTTTATTCACCCCGGGAGACCACATGAGCCCGCTTTCCGTGATTCTCTGCGTTTGAATTTTTCGAATTCTATATTTGGCATTTGGCGAGGTGAATTTCACACTGGTTTCACGTGAAACTGTTAGCGTCATCAATCATCATCAACAACAACTCATTTATACATCCCACTGCTGGGAACGGGTCTCCTCTTAGGCGAGGGCTTAGGCCATAGTCCGCGACGCCTAATACGGGTTGGAGACTTCACAAGTCTTCCAAAGGTAGTGAACCTAGAAGGTTCACCGTTGAACGTCGAATTGCCGATTTCATCACGATATTTTCCTTCAACGAAAAGCTAACGGTAAATTTCGAAAACTTCGATAGGCGAGCCAGAATTCGACCGACCGTTAGGCACGTTTAGGTTGTCGGTCTTATATTAGATAATCCTACTATTGTAATATGTACTTATCTCGCTTTGTCAAACTTTTATCGAATAAAAAGCATTCCATAGTTGACGGTATTTTCCCTTTAGCGATAAGAAAATTCCGACATTTGTTTACGAATGAATCATAGAAAATGGCTGCAAAACATAAAAAAGTACATACAATAAGTAGTAACGTTGAGTCATACACTTCCTGAAGTGATTTATCAGTGAGAAATTAGATCTGTCATTCATACTGGAGCTTGATTGTGTACATTCCGCTGATAAAAACGTTGAGAAAAACGACTACTCGTATTTCTGATAAGTCACAACTTACAACGAGATAAACGTTAGCAGAGTGTATAGATAGCCAATGAACGCCACGTGCGTAATTTTCTTTTTCATAACAAATTTCGTTATTTTATGATCAAATTATTTATTCATATATATATTGCGTCACATTGGTAATAATAGGGGTTAAAGTATGAAATTGCCGATTTGTACTGAAAATCTAATTGTTTATTTTTTAAATTTTTAACAAATTTATTTAATCAAAATAGTTGCCATTATTATCTATACATTGCTGCCATCTAATGGGAAGGTTATTAATGCCTTTGCGATAGAACTCCGACGATCTAGACTGCACAAACTGTGTGAAAGCATTTTGTACTGCCTCCTGGGAAGAAAACTTCTTGTCACGTAGATAATTGTCCAAACCACGAAAAAAATGGTAGTTCGTTGGAGCAAGGTCTGGTGAATACGGAGGATGACGAATGGTTTCTAACTGCAGTTCCTGAAGGGTCAAAATGGTTTCTCGTGCTGTGTGAGGTCTCGCGTTGTCGTGGAGCAATAATGGTGAAGATCGATTCATGAGTCGGGGCTGTCTTACTGCTAGTTTTGTCAACATGGTTCGGAGTTCGGCACAATAGACATCTGCCGTTATTGCTTGACCAGATCGGAGAAAACTATAGTGAATAACACCATGCTGAGACCACCAAACAGTTACCATTACCTTTTTATTGGTAAGTTTTGCTTTAGGACACTGTTGTGGCATTTGACCTGGGGTCAGCCATTGCATTTTTCTTTTCCGGTTATCATAAAGAATCCACTTTTCATCACATGTTACAATTCGATCCAATATTCCTTCATTTCTGTACCGGTTCAACAAGGCAACACAAGTTTCAACATGCGTTTCTTTCTGCAGATCAGTCAAATCATGAGGCACCCATTTTTCGTATTTTTTTATTTTATTGATTTGACGCAAGTGAGTCAATATTGTGGGTAAGGTAACGTTAAACCATGCCGCTAATTCCTGGGTAGTTTGACTAGGATCGGCTTCCACTATCTCTCTTAATTCATCGTTATTCACCTGTGTGGGCGGTCTTCCTCGAGGCTCGTTCTTTAAGTCGAAATTTCCATCACGAAAGCGTTTAAACCAAAATCGCACGGTGCGTTCATTAGTAGACCCCTCTCCAAACGCAGCATTGATATTGCGGGCTGTTTCTGCCGCGTTAGTTCCGCGTCGGAACTCGTATTCAAAAATCACTCGAATTTTCGCAGTATCCATCTTTCTTGTCTAAATTGAATAACAAAAACAATTGAAAGTCGATACTCAAATGTTTCAAATTTAAATAAAAAAAAAATCACAGAAACCATTTGAAAAAAGTTTCATTCGAAAACCTCAAACCATGAAAATTCTATGAAAATTCAAAGAACCTATTGCAATAAAACGGCAATTTCATACTTTAACCCCTAATATAAAGATTGTAAAAGTAATATAAAGTACAGCCATGTAACCCTGCAGGGCATTGCAATGTATGTTTAACTTAAATTAAATTTATTTTTATTTTTTATTTTATTTTTATTTTTTTTTATAAAAAAATAAAAATAAAATAAAAAAAAATAAATTAAAAAAATATACGCAATACCAAATAAATGTAAAATTAAGTTAAAGACCCATAATAGTATCACAGATTAAAACATACATTCGTCTATCGATTACTATAACAGATTTTAAATATCATATAATAAAATATATTTATCATATATAATCTTATTTATTAACATTACATCACATCTCGTCTTTGTTCTCGAAAAATTCTTGATATGTATAAAAAAACATTTTTGAAAAATTACTTCCAAAGTATAATATTAAAGATTCTATCGTTAAGCTCATTTATATTGCTTTTGAGAACATTATTATAAATTCTTGTAATCTGTCTTTTTTGAAGATGGAGTAAAATGACATTCGCAGGGTTGTCAGTTTTCGTAAAATTTTAAGTAATCATATAATTATGTAGTTGTTGTCGACAGTTTTATCGATAGATTGTGAAAGTACTAGTGAATGTTGTTAAAACGTTCTAATGATTACTAATTGCGTTATTGTATTCTTTATTCTTATTTTGACAGTTGTTCTATACTATCAAAAAAATTTTTAGTCATACAGATTTTAAATTTTTATTGAATTGATATTCAATTAAAAATAATTGAATATCAATTCAATAAAAATTTAAAATACAGTGAATAGCGACATCTCTCGCCAGGACTGGCAACTGTAAACATATCTAACTGGGTGATAAAACTTTCATAGATGTCTTATAGGTGGCGCTACGACTAAAAAGTCGTTGAAAAAACCAAATACAAAGATACGACCCATGCACTTAGAAAAATTCGTGAGGTCCGCTGGTTCGTTCCGTAGCTTAGTTGGTATAGCGTCTGGCACGGTAAGCTAGAAGACGTCGGTTCGAATCCGGCCGGATAGAAGGAATTTTTTCTGAGTGTTCGATCTTTGTATTAATAAATATAATATACAGATTTTAAAAATAATTGAATATCAATTCAATAAAAATTTCAAATACAGTGAATAGCGACATCTCTCGCCAGGACTGGCAACTGTAAAGATATCAAACTGGGTGATAAAGCTTTCATAGATTTCTCATAGGTGGCGCTACGACTAAAAAGTCGTTGAAAAAACCAAATACAAAGATACGACCCATGCACTTAGAAAAATTCGTGAGGTCCGCTGGTTCATTCCGTAGCTTAGTTGGTATAGCGTCTGGCACGGTAAGCTAGAAGACGTCGGTTCGAATCCGGCCGGATAGAAGGAATTTTTTCTGAGTGTTCGATCTTTGTATTAATAAATATAATATACAGATTTTAATAATGACAGGTGGATTTGATTACGTTGTATATTAAATTCAAATGAAAAACTTTAAAATATGTCTCCTATTTGTATTTTTATACACATACTTCTAAATTTAGTGTATGTATTCGGAAAAAGCTGTCTGTATTTTCTTAAAAAAATACTCCTTTCTAGGATGTAAATCGAAGGCAACGCGTGTATGTTATTTTGGAAACTATCCTACACGGAATTGCATTAAGCTTGTCAAAATTTTGTCCGCGTAACAAGTTACCTAATTATGCCGCCAAATCGTAATGTTAAAATTACTACGTTCCGGTTTCGAAGGGTGCTAGTGAAATCACAGGTACATGGGACTTGTCAACTTATCTCGCAGGGTGACGGGCGCAGTGGCGGGTCTTAGTGATTTAAAGCTCTGAGTGGCACGCAACAAACAAGGAGTGTCGCTTATCAAAAAGCCTACAACTTATTCGCCCCGTCACTTGGTGTTATTAAAGAATCTCAACCCGATTATGCATTAATAAATGTGGTGCCCACCTAATGCAGAATATAAGCGCTATTTAATTTTCTACCTGCGTTTTAACATCACTTTTGTTATTGATAAAGTACCGTATTCTAATATTGTTCCGAGATAACGAAGTATAGTCAGTTGAATAAAATGATTTCATCGTTAAATAATGATAATATAACAAAGATAAGATTATACAAAACGATAAGTAAGATATTAATAGAAATATGCATTGACTGGCAATTCTATGGACGTCGAGTCCGCACTAAAAAGTGTCCGAACTTATAGGGCGTTAAAATCGTATA